GATTGAACTTGAAGTGCGTCCAGTGCCTTCTCTTATCCAGGTGGAGGCTGTTGGTGAGGCATGAAGCTGATCGAGCCACGTTGAGGTTCGTACGGAGCAAAGGTAGGTTGCTGCTGAATTCCTCGCGCATAGGATGAGCCGTCAAGGCTCATTGGAGTACCGTCGTTGTTGTTGTCGTTGTAGTTTGACTACGCAGGTGCTGCTTGCTGTCAGAATTAGGAACGAAGAATGACTAAAAACACAGCATTACAAAGTTTGTATAACAAATCCTAATTGGGTTGTACCCCTTAAGGAGTGCCCCACTATAGCCTAGAGTAAAATTCCGACACACCCCCATAGGCAAAGTGGGGGACAAGCAGGAGAACAAAGCAAGGTCAAGCCCAGGGTCGATCACAACGTCACCACACATTCTGAGCACAAGCAAATGGCCACAAGGCCAGTTCACATGCAGAGTTATATATAGAGGAGAACAAGCACGACAGTGATCACAACTTAGCAAGTGTAAGCATGCAGGTATAAATATAAAGATCACACTACAAGCAAAGTCAATAAGTGAGCAAGTCAGGCCAAGTAGGCACAAGATCTAGAGCAGTACAGAACCGCTGATCATCACAAGGCTGAAGTGCCTTGGTAAAGATATCAGCAGTGTTGGCCTGAGAGGCCACGTAAACAAGACGAAGCTGACCACGGTGCTGCAACGCTCGAGCAAGGAATTAACGCAAAGTGATGTGCTTCATTCTGTGCTCCTGACACAAGGCAATCATGGCCTTGTTGTCAACGTACAGTTCTGGAGGAGAATGAGGCGCCTCTCCCAGGCCGGTCAGCAGGTAGGTGAGCCAGCGTAACTAGAGCTGAGAACAGAAGACGAGCCTCACAACTCGAGCTGAGAACAGAAGACGAGCGGGTAGACCGCCAAGAAACAGAGCTGGAACCAAGGCAGAAGGTGTAACCTTGTGACGACCGCTGCGTAGCCAAGTCTTCAACCCAAGAAACGTCTGCGTGACCAGTGAGGACAACTGGACCCCGTCCTCCAAGCACGAGCCTCATGTCCGACGTACTGCACAAGTAGCGCATCACCCTCTTAGCAGCCTTCCAGTGCTCTGGTCGATGTCTCCGGGGCGCAACGTAGCGTGCAAGGATGCTAAGAGGGTAAGCAAGGTCAGGTCGAGTGCAGGTCGTCAGGTACATGAGGCAGCCCACAAGCTTTGGATACGGGCCTCTTGGCTCTACGGACTCATCCGAAGACAGAGCTGAGAGTGAGTGATCGGTAGGCAGAGGAGTGGACTCTGGCGAGGAGTACTGGAAGTCGAAGCGCTGAAGGACCTGCTGCACCATGTGTGACTGAGTCACGATAATGGTGCGCCGTGCTCTGTCCCGGGTGATCTACAAGTAAAGATAGGTGCGCAGCTCACCCAGGTCTGTGCACGTGTGTCTCTTCTGTAGCTCCAACTTCACTAGAGTCAGTGCCTCAATGTAAGCAGTGGCAAAAACCAAGTCGTCGACGTACACAACGATGTAGAACGGCGGCGTGCGTAGAAACAGCGACGGGTCAGCAGTAGAAGAAACAAAGCCAATAGCCGCAAGAGTCATCCTCAGTGTGTCGCGCCACTCGCGAGGCGCCTGGCCGAGACCGTAGACTGGCCGCCGGAGGCTCTAGTGGGTACCAGGAGGAAACAACCCAGTGAAGCCAGGTAGGCGGCGCAGCCAGATCTCCTCGTGCAGGTTGCCCTGTAGAAAACCAGTGCTGAAGTCAAAAGAGTGAAGCTCGTAGTCACGCTGAGCGGCGACATGCAGCAGAACCCGAAGAGTGGTCATCTTCGGGGTAGGGGAGAAGGTCTGGAAGAAATCAACCACCTGTTGATTGAAGCCTCTAGCAATGTAACGCGCCGTAAAGATAGGCGGAGAACCCGACGGCTGCTTCACCTTGAAGATCCAAATGCCACTGACGATGTTCGCCCGAGGAGGGGGAACCTCGTCGACGTAAGTGCCTGTGGACTTCCAGGATGCCATCTCTACGTCCATGGCTGACTGCCACTGAGAGAAGTAGGGACCTTCTATCGCCTCTGCGTAAGAGCGCGGGGTCGGGATGTCTGGTGCGTCCGGGTCTCCCTCAGGTGCATTAAGCATGGACACGAGATGAGGTACAGCAGCTGCAAAGCACTCAAAGTCCTCCTGCCTGTCCTCAAGGACGTCCATGCCAAGAGCACACTCACCCCCGACGGACGGAGGACAGACCGACCCAGACTCAGCAACAATACTAGTGGCGTAGTCTAGATGACAGCTAGCAGGAAAGTCGACAAGCTCAGCAACTAAGGCAGACGTGGCAGTGGACTCAAAGGAAGGGTCAGTGACAGCAGTAGCTAGCAGACGCGTGACGGTAGGGCTAGCAGCAGGAAGTGAGTGAGACTCGGGGTCCGGACTGTCAGCAAGGGAGGACGCAGGAGGAGATGGCAGAGGGACACGCAGTGGAACAGAGGAAGGACGAAGTGCCCTTTGGTGCGTGCCGGGGATAGGAGGAGGACGCGAACGCGGAACACGATGACTAGTGCGGACAGGCGACGCAGGGCGAGACGCAGGCTTACGACGCTCAGCAAGACCTCCAGTCGGGCGAGTGTAAGGAGAAGGTCCAAGCAGTAGGGAGGCTGGCTGTAACTGCGACTGCGACTGGACATGCGGTGGACACTCTAAGGGAGGAGTAGGACCAGTTGAAGGCGGGAGACCAAGAACTTGCTTAAGGAGTGGAACGAAGTACGGCCGCGGCCGTGCAGCACCACCAGAACCAGCAAAGACGGCTCCAGCACCCCCAGCTCCAACTCCTGCAGCACCACTAGCTCCACCACCAATAGCACCACCATCTGGAACAGCTCCAGCGCCTCCAGCTCCAACTCTTGCAGCACCACTAGCTCCAGCAGCAGCAGCACCTCCAGCGGGAACAGCTCCAGCGCCTCCAGCTCCAAGTCCCATAGCACCACTAGCTCTAGCACCTCCAGGAGCTCCACCTCTAGCAGCATCTCCAGCTGGAACAGCCCCAGCGCCTCCAGCTCCAACTCCTGTAGCACCACTAGCTCCAGCACCAGTAGCACCACCAACAAACACCTCAGCGTCTCCAGCTCCAACTCCTGCAGCACCACTAGCTCAAGCAGCAGCAGCACCTCCAGCAGGAACAGCTCCAGTGCCTCCAGCTCCAACTCCTGCAGTACCACCAGCCCTAGCAGCTCCAGTACCTCCAGTCCGAGCACCTCCGGGACCAACAGCTCCAGTACCTCCCGCAGCTCCACTAGCAGCAGGACCTCCAGCTCCAGCAGCACGGCTCCAGCACCGAGCAAACCACTCGCGCAGCTGCGGCGGAGAGAGTGGCTCCCGTCGGGACAAGACACCCGTAGGACCTCCAGAGGACAAAGTACCTCCAGGCTCAGCACGCTCAGGCTCCACACTCTCAGGCTTAGCACCCCCAGGCTCCGTACCCTCAGAATCAGCAACCCTAGGCTCAGCACCCCCAGGCTCCGCACCCCCAGGCTCCGCACACTCAGGCTCAGCCATCCCAGGTCCCGCACCCGCAGGCTCAGCACCCCCGGGTCCCGCACCAGCAGGCTCAGCACCCCTAGCAGTACCAGAGTCGACAACTACCTCGACAGGCTGGACTGCGTCTACCTGGGACACACCTGAGGGGGCAAGACCCTGAGGGGGGAGGGGGTCTATCGGAGGAGGACCTGGTGCTAGGAAGAGCGGTGGGGGGGGGAGGGGGGCAGTGCGGTAGGGGGAGAGACGGTAAAAGGGAACAGACTCGTCAAACGTGACGTCCTGAGAGGACAAAACACGGCGCAAGGTGGGGTGGTAAAACTGCCAACCAAACGCTTCAGGGGGGAAGCCAAGGAAGACGCAGGGAACAGCACGGGAGGACAGCTTGTCCACGGAAGAATTACAGACAAAAGCTCGAGATCCCGAGACACATAACACAGACGCATCGCCAACCTTCCCCGTCCACCGCAAAGCAGGTGTGGTCTCCGGAACGGAGACACGTGGCTGGAGGTTGAGCTGATGCGCAGTGTACTGGACCGCGAACGGCCACAAAAAATGGGGAGCAGCCGCATGGATTATGGACGTACGAGCGACGTCCATGACCATGCCAACGCGGAGCTCAGCAATCCCAGTTTGCTGTGGGGAGGCCGAAAGTGTGAACGTCTGGCGGATGCCCTCCGCACGACAGAAGGCCTGCAGAAGGTCGAAGGAAAACTCTCCACCTCTGCCAGAGTGCAGACGTGGAACAGGAAGGTCCGAGCCGAAACTCTCGTTGAGCTAGCGACGGGCAGCGCGGATCCAGTCGATCAGCACCTCAGCGACTTCACCCTTGCGGAGCAAGGGGAAGAGTGTGGTGTAACGCGAGTAGTCGTCAACGACCAGCAGAAAGTAACGCTCGTGACCCTGTCCACGGACGCGGGCTGGGCCCCACACGTCCATGTGGAGAGTCTGCAAAGGAGACTCCGTCGGAGGGAACTCGGAGGAGTGAGGAGCGGCGCTCTGCCGTCCCTCGATGCAAGGAACGCAGGTTGGGGCAGGCCCCGGTGGGAGGGGAGGGAGAGATCAAGAGAGACCAGTGATAAGGACACGGGAGGCCATACTGTTAAAGTTATATTTAATATCTATCTTGCTTGTTGTAGATATTGTAGTGTAGTTCTTTCATTCCTTGTTTGGTGGTGCACCTTCTTTGTTTCTTTGCTATATGTTCTTGCAAACCTATAGTGAAGCCCATAATTCTCGATATTCTCCTTGGCACAACTCTCTCGACTCCCGCTTGGCCTAGGCTACTAAGCCTAGGCCTACTAGTTAGACCCGTTCGCTAGTTAAGACGCTATCGTGACACATACCTCGTTGACGAGGCAAGGAGGGGTGACCAAGACGGTGGTGCCAGAGGAGAGTCTGGTGTGACAGGAGACGACACATGCAGGGGGCAGATTCCAGACCAGACCTGGACGCGGCAGCAAACACCTGACCAGCCGCGGCTACCTGACCAGATGCAGTAACTGGAGGGGATGCAGTAGTCAGGGTGTACAGGCTAGACCCATGCTGATGGATAAACGTGGCAAGGTGGCGGCCTATCCGAGTACACGTACAATGGGTCACCCGCTGACCACCAGGAGTTAACTGGTCAACCCACACGTCCTGGAGGTCAGCTCCACTCACCAAGTTTGTAGAGAACGAGGGGAGGTGAAGACCCGACAATGGGCCAAACGGGATTGCCGAACATGGCAGAACCGTAGAGGATTGTGCAAGGACTGGGCCCCTAGAGGGGTCCGCCAGGAAGACAGCAACCGGCCGACTGAGCGGCGTGAGTGTGGTGCAGTCGCGAAAGAAAGAGCGGGAAGCACTGGAGTTAAGAGTGAAAGTGTGCAAGGCCTCAGCAAGCGAAGTACCTGAGAGAGCAGACTCACCAGCACCTGGAGCAGCAGGCTCACCAGTACGTGGAGCAGCAGACTCACTAGCACCTAGAGCAGTAGCCTCTATACCTGGGTCAGGTGGCACACACAGGTAACAGTCACCCTCAGCACTATTAGTCACGGCATATATGGCAGCAAGGATAGCATCATAATCAAGATCAAAGATAGCAACACCAGACTTAAGCAGATCAGCCCAGCGAGGGAGCTCAGTAGCGTCAGGAAACAGTGCGCGCTAGGCATCAGACATGCGACCAAAACAGCGTTGCGTAGCGTGCAGCAGCCCGCTCGGCTCCCCACGGCGCTCGCCGGTGCGGAGAACGTAAGTGTAGGGACCAGCACCTCCAGACCTCCCACGCCCAGCATACCACTCACGAAGCTGCTGGGGCGACGAGACCTCACGGAAACGCGGCTGCTGCTGGCCACCGCCAAAGCCTCCACGCTGCACGGCTCCACCCCGACGAGCACCACCGCCGCCGCCACCCCCACTGCCGCTGCCGCCGCCGCCGCCACCCCTACTGCCGCTACCGCCACCGACGCCCCCACTCCCGCCTCCACCCCCACCTCCATTCCCACCCCCTCCACCTCCTCCACCGCCACCACCGCCGCCCCCGCCGTCCCCTCCACCACCCTTGCCCCCCTTGCCCTTGCCGCTGCGGCGCCTCCCACTAGGAGCAGACGCAGCCCCGACCGCCTCGGTGCCAACGAGGTCGACAGCAGCAGCAGAAGCAACAGATGTCAAAAGAGGGTCGGGGGAGCACCCCTCAAAGAAGGGGCGCGAGGGTCGCCGCGAGAAGCTCCTACTGTGACTATGCTAGTCTCAGCTGCAAGGAGGCGCTCCTTGAGCAGGTTGACGTTAGATCAATGGGGCAAAGGGAAAGAAAGTGGTCCCTGACTGAGCGGAGAGAGTCAGGGAGGCGGGAAACGAGGTAGAAGAGGGTGATGTACATGGGGGGGGGGTTCTTGGCGCAAAACTCGGAGGGAAGCGCAGCGCGGTAGCGGGTGTCACTAGTGCGGAGGTGAGAGATGAGGTCAGCGACTGTGGCAAACGCGGCTAGGTCAGGGAACAAGTACGGTAGCATGAGGTGGCTGAGGGCAGCAGAGGCAAGGGAGGAGTAGCGTGCGACAACAGCATCATACAGAGACTTAGCAGTCTTGTACTGGCCAAAGTGCGTGCGCTCAGCAGACGGCAGGTGACTACGAACAGCAAGGCGAGCAACAGCATCATGAGTAGTCCACTGCGAGCGAACCGTACTGTCAGCGTCGGCAGTAGGTGCAACAAAGGCGCCGGACGTGTGATCGAACAGCGAGACTCCGTCCCTGGAGTTGCACTGAAGATAGAGCTGCAAGTCATCTACCCAAACCTCAATATCGACCGCACGGCCCTCAGCATCGAAGGTAAGCACAGTAGGACTAGCCATGGCGGCAGTAGTTGCATGGCAGGGCCGCGCAGCACGGCAGGGCGGCGCGGCTCGGCAGGGCGGCGCGGCTCGGCAGGGCGGCGCGGCTCGGCTAGGTGGTGCGGCGCGGCAGTCAGGCAGGCGCAGCGGCGCGCTTGGCAGGGCGGGCGTTTACCAGGGGTGGGTGCAGGGCAGGGCCGCAACTGGCGGGTAGGCAGGGCCGGTACAGGGCGGCAGCAGGGTAGGGCCGCTACGAGGCGGCGGTAGAGTAGGGCTGCGACGGGGCGGCAGCAGGGTAGGTCCGCGAAGGGGCGGCGGTAGAACAGGGCCGCAACGGGGCGGTTGCAGGGCAGGGCCGCGACGGGGCGGCTGAACGGCAGGGCCGCGACGGGGCGGCTGTAGGGTAGGGCCGTGACTGGGCGGTTGCAGGGCAGGGCCGCGACGAGGCGGCGGTAGGGCAGGGCCGCGACGGGGCGGCAGCAAGGTAGGGCCACGACGAGCAGCGGCAAGGCAGGGCCGCGATGGGTGGCGAGGCCAGGCTGCGACGGGCGGCTAGGGCAGGCCGCGAAGGGCGGCAACAGGGCAGGGCCGCGACGGGCGGCTAGGTCAAGGCCGCGACGGGCGACGAAAGGGCAGGGCCGCGACGGGCTGTTAGGGCAGGGCCGCTACGGGCCAGGAGGGCAGGGCCGCTACGGGCGGCAGTAGGGCAGGGTGCGCGATGGCGCTGGTGAGGCAGGCGCGAAGCGCGCTTCGGGCAGGGCAGGAAAAAAAAATTATCGTGGTGGGCCCTAAAAAAAAAACGTTCTTACTAGGGAACCTGCTCTGAAACCATGTCAGAATTAGGAACGAAGAATGACTAGAAACACAGCAGTACAAAGTTTGTATAGCAAATCCTAATTGGGTTGTACCCCTTAAGGAGTGCCCCACTACAACCTAGAGCATAGTACTGATACTTGCTGGTGCTGTTCGTAGAAGGATATGAAGGAGAATAACTTCTCCATCATGTTTGGGTCGAAGCTGGTTGTTTGGTTCGCGGGAGTCTCAGTGGACTCAGCAGCTGGTCTTGTCGCTGTGCCTCCCTCTGTCTGTAGGCCAGAGGCTAGAGGTGGGGTAGAAGTAGTGCCGGAAGAGCCGTTAGAAGAGCTTCTCTCCTTCTGTGTTGCCATGTCTTCTGATGTTGTAGGAGTTTAAATAAAGTTGGATCTTGCCTTTTCTGCTCTCATACCATGTTGGGCTAAGAAAAGCCCCTAGGACTTTTCAAGGCTAAGACTCTGGTGGAGATATTGTATTGCGGAAGCGTTCAATGACAGAATATTGAATCACCTTTCGCTAGCATGTGAGGGCAAGATAAATTGATTATAAGGAAATAATACAAGCTTTAATAAGATTACAAGGAATGTGAAAGGATGCTATAACTGTTTTTCTGTTGCGGTTGCGGTTCGATACAGTGACAACTCGGGCAACTGCTCAATATCAAGTCAGTTGTTTGTCCTTGCTGTCGCGCTGTACTTGTCGAGTCAAAGGTCGCTGACCAGAGAGGTTTGCGGTAGGCAGGGTCACACTGAGGCTCGCTGCTTCTACCGTCTTGACGACGCCTTTCGAGCAGAGTTTGGTGAGCAGGCCAAGACTTTGGACAGGTTAAGAATGCGCAAGAACATAGATGTGTATTTTCTTGACTAGAACTAGATCTCTGTTGGCATGTTTGCAATGTATGCTGCTGGTGCTAGTGTTGAGGGTGACCAGTATTCTTGTGTACCTAGATCTGGTAGTGTAGAGGCTGCTAGGGTAGGTGCTTGTGAGTCTGCTAGCATAGGTCCAGTTCCTTGGGAGGCTTTACACACCTTCACGCTGGACTCAAGCGCATTTCGGTGCTTCTTCCACGACTACACCACAGTCATACCGCTCACAGCACCTGTCCCTGTCACTCTGGCCGGCCCCTCGTCTCGCCCAGTCGTTGCATGCGGCTCCACTGTTTTCCCGTCTCCGGCCAACCCCCTCCAGCTCCCTCATAGGTCTCCACCTCCCCTCGTTCGCTACGAACTTGGTGGATACCTCTATCCTCTAGGATCGTTTGGTCACTACCACTACTCTTGGGGGCGAGCTTATGGCGATCTGTACAGACTGAGTGACTAACGATCACCTCGCCATGTTCACTCACAGGCCTGGGTCTGGCCTGTACACACTGCACACAGAGTATGCACAGGTGACTGCGTCTTGCTCGTGTCGGTTACTCACGCACCCGTCTCTCCTCTCGCACCACCATCTTGGTCACTCCTCCCTGCAGCGTCTGCGTTGCATGCACTTGCGTCTCATTGTCTTTTGCCTCGCGAGGTGCCTGCCCCAGCTCCCATCGTCGCTTGCGCCACATTTTACTCCCTGCGTTGAGGGGCGGCAGCGCGCCGCTCCTCACTCCTCCTCGTTCCCTCCAACCACTGCTCCTCTGCAAATGCTGCACATGGACATGTGCTTCCCCGCCCTTGTCTCTAGGCCGCGCCGGGAGCGCTAGTTCCTGCTGGTCGTCGATGACTATACGCGCTATACCACGGTGTTTCCCTTGCACCACAAGGGAGACGTCCATGTTGTTTGATCCCCTGGATCCGCGCTGTTCGCCACGAGCTAAGCGCACGGTTCCATCAGGACCTTTGGGTGCTCCATCTCCAATCTGACCGTGGAGGTGAGATTTCCTCCGGTCTCCTTGAGGAATTTTGTTGTGATGAGGGCATCAACTAGTTAATCACACTTCCGGCCTCTCCACAACAAAATGATACCTCCGATACATGCGGCTGCTCCCCATTTGTTGTGGCCGTTTGCGGTCCGATACGCCGCGCATTAGCTCAAAATCTGGCCCCATGTCTCCGAGCCAGAGACCTCGCCTACATTGCTGGACAGGGGAGGTTGGTGATGTGTTAGTGTTTCGGGTCTGGGGTTTGCTTGCCCTGGTCCGCGATACTACCGCGGGCAAGCTCTCTCCTGGTTTTTTCCCCGGTGCCCCCCCTACCCCTCTTCCCGGTAGACCCCTCCTCCCCCCCCTTCACGTCCTGCTCCCTCAGGTACGTCTCAGGTCACATCACCCCCTTTGGTTGAGCCTTTGGAGGTCCCCTCAGGCCCCGCTGGCCCGGCTGAGGGGGGTGACCCTATTGCTGACGACACTGCGGCTTCTCTAAGCGCACCACGATTGGAGACCCCTCCTGATTTTTTGCCTCGGCCGCCTTCGCCGCCTCCGCAGCCTGTCGCTGTGGAACTGCTGGGGGTTGTGACGCTGGAGGTGCAGGCTCTGGGGGTACTGGGTCTGGGGGTGCTGCCTCTTGGGGCATTGGCTCTATGGTTGCTGAGCGTTCTAGTGGTGGTGGAGTCGAAGGTGCTACTCCTGGAGATTCTGCGTGTGCGTTGCAGCCTCTACCATGGCGCCCCTTCTACTGAGAGCAGCCGTAGTTGTCGCTGCTCTTCTTGAGTCCATTGCTGGAGGTTCTGGGGGTGCTGGTGCTTGAGGTACTGGAGCTGGAGGTGCTGGAGCCAGCGGTGCTAGAGGTTCTGGTGCTGTAGGTCCTTACGCTGGAGGTGCTGGAGGTTCTAGTGCTAGGGGTACTGGAGCTAGAGGTATTGGAGCTGGCGGTGCTGGAGGTTCTGGTGCTGGAGGTTCTGCCACTGGCGCAGGTTCTGGTGCTGGGGGTATTGGAGGTGGAGGTGCTAGAGGTTCTGGTGCTGGAGGTACTAGAGCTGGAGGTACTGGAGCTGGCAGTGTTGGAGGTCCTAGTGCTGGAGGTACTAGAGCTAGAGGTACTGCCGTTGGAGGTACTAGAGCTGGGGGTGCTGCGCAGCCACGATAGCGACGACCGTTCTTCTGGGAGCAGTAGCAGTCGTCACTGCCACCACCTGGCTCGGCACTTCACCAGGTTCTTTGTCTTTTGTCGGCCTCTGGAGAGTAGCCTACCACTGGTTCTACTCCTCCCCTACTTGTCCCACCAACTAACCTGTCTCAGACACAGTTACCGCCTGATTCCCCACTACCTGTTTCTTCTCGTTACACTGAGCTAACAGACTTCCCGACGGAGCGTCGAGAGCCTGTGCCTTGTCCTGCCTCACCTGTTGCTCGTCGTGCGCACCGTGTTTGCCCTCCACCTGTTCCTATTGACCACACTATGGCACTTCATCATTCCTCTATTGCACAGCGTCCTGTCCTGCCATCTCCTCCAGCGTCCTCTCTTCCTAACGTTCCTGACCCTGAGTCTGATATTGCTTGTGCTGCTAGTCCTACTCGCAGCCGTTGTCTGGCAAACCCTTATTACTGACCCTATGTTTGAGTCTGCTGCTGCATGTGCCGTAGTCACTGAGCTAGTTGGCTTTGCTGCTGCCTGCCGCCTTGACTCCTTTGCGAGTCTTGTTTCTGATTTTGACTGTCCTCCGTCCATCGGAGGTGAGTGTGCCCTTTGCTGTGATGTCCTTGAGGATAGGCAGTTTGAGCTGGAGTTTCTCGCGACTGCCGTACCTCATCTCGCTGCCATGCTGCTTGCCCTTGAGTAAGACCCGGATGCACTTAACATCCCGACTCCTCGCTCGTAGGCAATCACGGGTCAGTACTCCTCTCAGTGGCAGACAGCCATGGATGCAGAGATGGCATCCTGGGATTCCACTGGCACCTAATTCGACACCGTTCCCCCTCCTAGGGCGAACATAGTCGATGACATGTGGATTTTCAAAGTGAAGCGGCCGCCGGGTTCTCTGCCTGACTTCAAGGCACATTACATTGCACGAGGCTTCAGTCAGCGACAGGGGGTCGACTTCTTCCAGACCCTCTCCCCCACCCTGAAGATGACCACTCTTCGGGTGTTGTTGCATGTTGCAGCACAGCGTAACTACGAGCTGCACTCGCCCGACTTCTCCACAACTTTCTTGCAGGGCAGCCTCCACGAGGAGATATGGCTGCGCCGCCCTCGTGGCTTCACTGAGTCGTTTCTTGAGGGTACCCAGTGGAGTCTCCGACGGCCAGTCTATGGTCTGCGCCAAGCGCCCCGCGAGTGGCA